TGCATTCGATGTTCATTTATTTGAGAGTGCATCGGTACACAATGAATGTGCATCGATGCACATAACCCAGAAATTCCAGTTAGAGCACGAAATTCACTTTCTTTTTAGCTCAACTCTTCATATTTCCTCCCTTTTTATATTCTTAACTCACATACACATATTCAAACTCATTTCTATTCATTCATCGCCTCTTTATCATCAAAATCCTATTCTCCATATGTAATTCAAGAATTACACTAAAGTTTCAACATGTTCCAAATTCAATTCTATTGTTTCTAACTTCTTAAATAGACCCTTGACAAGTAAAATTTGGTCTGGAAATCTCATAAATGACTTTCTACCAAGATTTCATTTATTCACTTACTTCCTTTAATCATTTCTATACCTTTCCTCTTATTGTTTTGTGGCAAATTAAGCTTCCCTTAAGCTTAAGAGTCACTTGATAATCAAAACCAAACTTAAAATTCAACAAGAAATCAATTAACCAGAAACTCACCTTTGCTTTTTGGCTTCCACGTGAAGAAGAAAATAAAAAAGAAGAATAGAACTCTGGAGAAATCTCTCCCTTTCCACGTGGTTCCCTTATCTTATAAAGGAAAATAAAATTATTACTTGTCAATTGACCATTTTACCCTTTAATTCATTCAATAATTACTAAAAAACCTTCAACTATATTTCCTATAAGTCATTGAACTATTTGACTATTCTACTTTTATCACCAAATTTCAAAAATTCTCATTTTAGTCACTAGCCGGATTTTGGGATATTACAATCCATATTAGAGAGAAAAGCCTACCGAAGAGATGTGAATTATGTAGAGGTGAAGGTCATTTAAAAAATATTGTCCAAACCTACCATGGTACAAGGCTCAGTAATAATCTTATTTCTATTTGAACGAATATTTGAATTTCTTACATATTTTTATTTTAATGAATGTATAGTTTTGTCTATTTATTTTTTGAATGAATGTGATGGATAACCATATTTGAATGAATGCGATTAATATCCATATTTGAATGAATGTGATGGATAGCCATATTTTAATGAATGTGATTAATATCCATATTTAAATGAACGTGATGGATATTTGTTGAACTTATATTTCGATATTACAAATAAGAGAAAAACATTTTTGAACTTAATTGAATTTATTCAAAAAAAAATCAAAGGCCATAAAACTTATAAAATGGTTTCCAAATGTTTTTGACTTGATCTACATCTTAAAATATATTTGTCAAAAATGGCTAAAAATGAATTTAATAATTTCAAATCAACATAATTATACTTCAATCTCAGTTTCAACTTAGAATTTATCAATTTAAACATATAAACCGTCATTTGAAGAAATATTTATTTAATATTAATTTTCTTACAAAAATAAGAAAGCGTTTACAACTCCTGTCAGTGCCAGGGTATTGTTGAATGATAATACCGAGGCGCAGTTTGGTTTCCTTGTAGCCGTTGCAATTGCTCAAGTTTGTTCATCATAATCAACCTTCTCATTGATCGAGGGCATATGATCCGGTGTTGTAAATACATGCATACTACCACTTAGCTCTCCTATCTCTGGTGGAAACATAGGATGACAGATACTCGTATTTTACATCATAGATGTCATGTGATCAAAATCATATTTTGGTCCAAACATGGGAGAGTACATGGGTGATTGATGAGGAATAAGCTTTGGTATGTAGGTCGTAACATCAGAATCACCAAACACTTTATGAAATGATCTTGTACTACAAAAGGTTCTGATGGGCTATTATTCATCGACGCTTGTTCTGATTCATGGTGAGATGAACTCTCATTCCCACTCAGTCTTGATTTTTCTGCTTTACCAAATTTTTTCTTTTATTGTATAAATTGTCATCTTTATATGTTCGTTGTGAAGAACGACTTTCCATTTTCTCAATAATAATTCAAGTAATCCAATTTCTGAAAATCAATTTCATCCTCTTGACTGGGAGTGAGAGTTGGAAATGATGAAGCCCTGTTGTTCCAAAGATTGATATAGTTGGCATGACTCATAGCCCAATCCTCACTGCGCCTACCATGTCCATTTAATCTATGGAGAGCGTCATGATTCTCTGGAATCTATGGAATAGGTTGGTGGAAGCCGAACTGCCTCAACACGTTATCAAAAAATTGGAACTCAACAAAAGCGAAATGGATCAATGGTGTAACAACACACCAATATTGAAACCCTCCCAAACATGTTGTGGAATACACAATATAATTTTTCCATCATCATACGACCTCCAAATAAACTATAAAACAAAATTATATAATTATAAATTAATTAAATAGATATAAAATTCAACTAAATAAATAAACAATCTAAGAGACTAAAACTTCATCAATAATATTATATACCTTAACTTTGCATTTAATGTTCATCTTAAATCTAAACTCTTTCACATTATTGTGCACCAACCCCGTTCCTTATATTTTATGCCTCAATTTGTATACCAATCAAAATAAAATTTGTTAATTATTTTTCCTATAAAAATATTCGTTAATTAATTTAAGATAAAAAGATTTTAAATCAAAATATTACCTTCCGACAAGAGGAAAGTTAAATGCAGTTCGGTTAATCGGTGTTAACCATGGAAGTTTGTGCCAAGCACATGATTGTAATAACATCAGTAATCCACCAATTTCCAACGTACACGTAATATATACAAGTAATGACACCTTACACATCTCGCGGTACAAGAACGTCAATATTGCTGATCCCAACTATATTGACGTGTATTCAAAAAGTTATCCAAAAACGAAAGATATTGTATATGAACAATATTACCGGATTTATCCAACATTAAGACTCACCCGATCAACTATAATATATATACTCGATTTGCATATAATGTCTTGTTCAATACTATAACGATCGAGCTTAAACTCATTCGCTAACCATGATAACCTCAAACGTGACCCTTTGGTAAATGTTTTTTCTAGTGCTTTCCCAAGGTACACCTCGTAAATTTCAATCACTTTATGATCATTTTTCTCCACCACTGTCATCCCATTTGTTGGGACCTCGAGTTGCAAAGCCACATCCTCTAAAGTGATTGTGCATTCTCCGCATGAAAGATGAAATGTATGAGTTTATGGTCTCTATGTTCAATTAATGCACTGATCAAATTGGGGACCAACTTATATTTTCTTACAAATGTTATATTGTAAAAGCTAGCCATTGGCAAATTATGGACAATAAGATAATGCAGCTTATCACAAATGTTCACTTGACTACGAAGGACTCGTTATTCGTCATCCTGCAATTAATTAATCCATGGAATTAGAATTAATTCATCGTTCTCAAATAAAATATATTATTCAATAATAATACCAGTGCTCCTAAATGACTAGAAATATGTCGATCATCTAATATTAAAATAACATTTCGTTCTGTCATGTTTCAACAAATTTGTAAAAAAATATTTTAATTTATAATATTAATAATAATAATTAAAAATTAAACAAAATAATCTCTAAAATCAAAATAAATAGTCTAATTAATTTTAAATTTAAAATTAAACATTAAATGAAACAATAAAATTTAAACTAAACTTTCCAGACCACTCAAATACGATTTAATATGTAAAATCAAAATAAATAGTCTAATAATTTATATTTAAAATAAAAAATAAACAATACAATTTAAACTAAACTTACCAGACCACCCAAATATGATTTGATATGTAAAATCAAAACAAATAGTCTAATAATATATATTTAAAATAAAAAAAATAAACTAAACTTACTAAATCACTCGAAAAGTTTTATCTATAAAATCAAAAAAAAAATCTAATTAATTTATATTTAAAATAAAAAGTAAAAATAAAACCCTAAAATTTACACTAAACTTACTAGACAACTCAGTACGGTTTCTTTCTTCCTTCGTTCGAACTTTTTCTCGGCTGCTCCCCAAAATTCTTTCTCACCTCACCATGTTGCTCCCCAAAACCCTTTATTTCTTTTTCTATTTTTTCTCCCGGCTGCTCCCAAAATTATCTCATCTCACCATGCTACTCCCCAAAACCCAATTCTCACATTTTATAAACCCCAACCATGCTACATTATTAGTGCAAAATAATGGCACCATTATTAGTACCTAATAATGTAAGCATTATTGCTCCTCTTCCCCGTGTTGTTAGTCTTCCCCTATTCCCGTGTTGAAGCTACTTTGGCGTCAATGGTGCTACCATGTAAGGACATGCAGAGGGTGATGGGAAGACGCCATGTAGTCCTGGAACCTTCTCCCATTTGTCTACAGATACTATGCTCTCCTAAAGTCTACTCCATTGGCCTGAAGACGTTATGCAGTCGTGGGGTCTTCAAATTTAGTTTGAAGACGCCATGCAGTCCCAAGGGCTTCTAATGACGCGTGGAACACCTAGAGTCTTTGCGTGATTACTGTAGAATTCACCTTAGATGGAAAAATAATCCCCGAGTTAGATTATTTTGAGAATTCTTTTTCCCAATAACATTTTCTCAGCCATTTGTGTTAATTTTTTTATACTACTATATTTTTATGGGATGAAATAAAAAATATTAGGGGCTTATTTTAAATTTCATAAAAGAAAAAAAAAGGACCATTTTTAATAGTTTTACCCTTTATATTAACTATGCATAATAAAGAAGCTTATCATTTAAGAAATTGAAATCTAAAGAACTTTATCAAGTAATTGGTACGCAAACTCTTCAGTTCCAGAAATTTCAATTATGGTCACTGGCAGCAACCATAATTAGTTGGAGAACTTCCCCTCTAATCTAAGCAGTAAACAAGCCAGGACGGACGTAAAATTTTATGTTAAGCGATGAACTTTAAAAATTTGGAAAAGGACAGAACTTATAAAATTCTAGGTGAGGGAAAAATATATTTTCAGTAGAAAATACATAAAAATAAATATATGATAATTTTATATTTTCAAGGGGAGCAACTATCCCCACCGGTCCTCCCTCGATTCATCTCTGGCTTCGAAGTCAGAGAGCCGGAAAATTCACCCGCCAAACAGTCAATCTCTAATCACAAACTCATTCTACTGTCCTTATTAACTGTATAGTTAGGTTGTTTTTGGTCACCTAGATTCCTCTGAAATGCTAGATCCTCAGAGCATCTTAGAGCTGATCCCAAGTCTCCAATCTCTTGATATCCCCTGGCTATGATAATGTTGATGGCAATGCTTGGCATGACTCCCATCTTTATCATATCTGCGTGCAACATCATCACATCGATCATATGCTTTGCTCGAAAATGGCCCTCTAACATGACAATGTACGCGGTTGCATCTACCATCAAACCGCTGCATCTCAAATCTGAGAAAATTTTACTTGCTTCAAATACCTGTCCCTCCTTGCACATTGCCTGAATCAAGCTTGTATACATCACATGATTTGGGGAGCAAAACAAGCCATCAGTTTCGTTTTCGCTGATACCAGCTCTAGTCTTCTCCAACAAAAAGCTGAAAGCCTCCGAAACTCTTCCATCCTTGCAAAGGCCGTCGATTAAACTACTTAACGTGAAAGAATTGGGCATTAATCCTGATTCCAGCATGTCCTTAAACACCCGGAATGCCTCCTTAATAATACCATTTTTACAATATCCATTAATCAAAGCTGTGTACACCACCACATCCGGAACAAGACCTTTGATAATCATTTCGGAGTAAAAACCCATGGCAGCTTCCATGTTTCCAGTCTTGCAATAACCGTCAATCAATGTAGAGAAAGTTATGACATTCGGTTCTATACCATTTTCAGTCATTTGAGAGCATATCTGCAAAGCTTTCTCCATGTTCCCTACTTTGCAGTACCCATCAATCAGGGAATTGTAAGTCACAGAATTAGCTAAAACTCCACCTTTCTTCATTTTCTGCAATAAAAAGCTCGCTTCGTCCACTTTTCCAACACTACAAAGACCCTTAATTAGTATACTATATGTAAAAACATCAGGCAAAATTTTCATCTTCTCCATTTCTGAGATCAACTCCACTGCTTCAGATACATTGTCTGCCCTACAGTAGCCATCAATCAAGCAATTGTATGCAAAAATGTTGGGCAAAACACCATACTTAAGCATACAAACCAAATAACTCCTTGCTACTATCAATTCATCCATCTTGCAAAGTCCATCAATCAGGATACCGTAAGTAACAATATTTGGCACCAAACCATCAGTAATCATCGTCTGGTATATTTCAAAGGCTCGTTTGACGTTGTTCATCTTGAAATATCCATTCATCAAAACATTATAAGTGTACAAATTTGGAAGGGAATGCCACTCTTTCACCAATCTAAACATGCATTCTGCCTCCAGCATCTTACCTTCATTACAAATAAACTTTATGACAGTCGTGTAGATGACAACATTGGGTGGAAATCCTTTCATCAACAGATCGTAAAACAAGTCGCGTGCCTTCAAAACATCACCTTGATAACAACAACAATTTATCAACACCCCATAAGTGCCAACATTAGGCAAAAACCCCCGTGAAAGAAATTCCTTATAAAGATCCCACATCGAGTTAAACCTGCCCAACTTAACTAATCCATGTAAAAGTGCATTACAAGCCTGCATTTGAGGGAAAGTTTTGATATTTCTATAAACCCACAATGCATCGTCGATTAAACCCATCTGGGAAAATGCAATGATTATGGATCCAAACACATTGGGAGTGAATTTTGAGGTTTGTAATCTGTTAAGGGCGTTGAAAATCAAGGGGCAAGCACGGTAGGGTTTCAAAGAGCTTTGGAGGGCTTCGAGTAGGAATTTTATCAAACACCTGGCGTCCGCGTAAAGTCCAGCACCAGTCAAGACATGAATCATGGCTGAATAAGGCTCGAGATTCTTCAAAGGGTTTAAGAGATTGGCATTAGAATTGAAAAGCTTGAGAGCTTGTTGAGGGTTTCGGGTATTGAGGATATCCTTTGTCAGATTCAGACGATGAGATGATGATGATGAGAATGATGGTATTTTACAAAGATTTGAAGGGTATTTGGTGCAAAGACATGACGATTGTTTACGCTGGAATAGCTTCAACATTGTTCAATAAATTTAAATGGCAAAAATCCTAGCAGTGGAATTGGTATTTTACATGACGCATTGGGAATCCAGGACCTGCCGCAGCTGATAGGGTTATGCGCGAAGCCGTTGAATGTGCACCAACTTCAAATTCACTTTATTTTACATTGAAAAATATTTTTTAAAAGCGCTGTTAGAAAATATTTTGAAAAGTGATTATATAAAGTTTAGTTTAAAATTTGGTAAACTACTTGAATGAAACCTAATTATGGGATTAGTATTGAAATAACCACCATTAGAAAAATTTCGTCAAATGACCACTTAACTAATTAATTGAGTTCAATATAGCCACCTGCTATTAATATTTGAAGTGCTGAAGTGATTAGGGATGAGCATGAGAATTGAACTTGACGGGTTTCGATCCGACCCGATCGGGTCAGATTCTTTTTTAAAAAATTGAGTTCGGGTTGAGTTGGGTTCGAATTTTATCTCAAAACGTCGGGTTCGGTGGAGGGTGTATATTTTCTGGTCGGGTCGGGTCGGGTCGGGTGGAGGATATATAATTTTTGAGTCAGGTCGGGTCGGGTCAGTCAACTCGACCTATGCTCGCCCCTAGACGTGACAGTTAATAAAATTGGTATAATTATAGAGTTGGTCCTTAATACTTACATATTATATCAATTTAGTCCTAATTTTAATTTAATCAAAAAATTAACCCCAATCAAGATGTGTCATGTGTCAAATGATTATTACGACATAATTTAATAATAACATATTTCACCACCTGATTGGATGAATCAAACTTGAGACCTAGGATTGAGGGTGGGCACGACTAAATCATTAAGGTAAACCCAATGTTTATTATTTATTTGTCAAAACTTTTATATATCTTGTTTTAAATTATACATAAAAAGGAAATAATAATATTCTAATAAATAAATTATTAGTTAATGCAATTGTAACACCCCAAACCGATGCGGGTAGCCCGATCCGATTCGGGAAGTCACATTAGGGCCACCGGAGCGACCCACCGTAAAAATAGCGGAAATTTTAAAACTTTTTATCAGAACATGTAAACTTATAAAATCATTTATCACTATTTAAAAATAAAACAGATTTCCAAACTCGTATATAAATCAAAATACAATTACATGCCCCCTAATCACAAGTACCATACTCTGCAACCACGCCGGAAGAACTCCCTTACTGAAGTCGATAGATGCACTGGTACAATTGTTTTAACCTGAAAAGGTGAGTAATAGAGTGAGCTTTGGAAAGATCAGTAATACAGAACTACCAGATGATGCTACATGACATGTAGATAAATGGAAAGCCATATAATTTCCTTATTGAATCATACGTATACCAGCTTGCAGAATAATTTGGGGTTCCCTTAGAAGTTCATCGAGTAGAAGCCATGAATCTCAGTTCATAAGAAACCTTTCAAAGTATGACATTTTCAGGAGATCGAATAGGATGTCTAGTGTGTTCCAACAGTATAATAAAATCATAATAGATACAAATCATAGTCTAGTAAATCTCACAATTTCGTAAAAGAGTTTAACTTTTGAAAATCATAGTTTAAACCCTTTTCTGGTACACCATCAGTAGTTCCCAAAAATTATTTTCCATATAGCTTACTTTATGCACATAGCAAAAAGAAAGCCGACTTAAGGATAGGCTATGAAGCTTGTATCCTTAAGCCCAAGTCAATAAGTCCATATAGCTTACCCTAAGCACACAGCAAAGGAAAGCCGACCTAATGAAACATCTTGGGGCCCTCAAGAGTCACATTAGGCCCATTTAGCTTGATCAGAGCTATTCCATCGTAATTCAATTCCAAAATTCAATTGCACCGTGACATAAATTCCATAAATCCAAAAACATGGTAATCATATACCATTTCAAAACAAAAATTAGATAGCAGCCATATTCCATAAATTGTCACATTAAATTGGTGCATCCATAAAACAATAACCAATGAATTCGGTGTACCACATATTAAAACCAATAAAACAGTTCAGTAATAAGTAGGGAACACACTAGAGAATCCAAGTATTTCCAGAGGCCATTGTAGTTATCATTTTGGATAACATGAAACTTATGAAATTTGAATGAATTCCTAGAACAAGGTCCTATTGAGGAGAATCGATTACTAACCGATCTAGCCAGACATTTAATGTTGATACATTAGAATCCCACTATATTTTCGTGTGCTTTAGGAAAACGTTCAGGAACCTTTATACATAATAATTCTAAATTCAGATTTACTGCGAGTGATTCCATTACCCAAACAATCAGGGGTATTCAGGAATATACTTTAAATTCATAGGATTTCAGCCCAATTGAACCAAATGAGATATTCAGAATCTTTTCCATCTGCGTTACTTGTTTTTTTTTCAAACATGACCGAATTGATTTTAGATGAAATATAGAATTGAAGATTCAAGTCATTTACAATCTACGACTATCGATCATATTATTAAACAACTCGAGTTACACAACTCTCAAACTGATGCATGTCAACAAGTCAATTCATTATCCTTCCAGTGTATTCACTCTTTAATACCATAGTACAGATCCATAGATCATCCCCATAATCATCACTGAATAAATCTTCCAACGGTCTTTATTTCATTTCCACGTTTCAACAATATCAGGAAATACTGACGTACTTGATCCATGGCTCATAACCCATAATGACAATTCATCATGTAAGTTCAACAGTGTTTCCAAACTCATCAAATCACCTATTTAATCCTTAGTCATTGATGTTACTTAGTTCGTTTAGTAAGAAAGTCTATCCCGATTACTTTAATGTTTTCCAGAATAATTCAGACGTTTCTGAATTTCAAATACACGTTGTACTTCATTTCATTTCAATTTATTCATATAATAAAGTCATTCTGGTATTCATGGTTGATTTGACTAACGACTACCCACTTATTAGTACTGTATGTGCTCTAGAGTTGAGCTGCGCCAAGTACTTCCAGAATTATCATCGATCCAAATTTGAGAAGATGAACAAACATTCAAGTGATACTTATATCATTCAGGTAATGATATAGTACTAACGTTGGTTAATCACTTAAGTTACGTTCCACAACTTTTACTGGTAGTACAACATCCATGTTTATTTGGATTTCTTAATTAATCCAAGACATTTACTTATTCTAGGTCATAAGGGCATTTTGGTCATTTTGGTGCTTAACATTTTTTTCTATTCATTTCAAAGCTTGAGTATATCCATTCATTCCTGAGCTTGGTGACATTCTTGAGTCATTTCCATTCCAGGGGTAATTTGGTCATTTTGTAATTCTAGAATATTTCAATCATTTCCTTCCATCCAGTCTTACTATTTAATTCAATCTTATCATTGTTGAGTTAATCGATCGACGGAATCGGCCAAGAGGGGGGTGAATTGGCAATTAAAAATTTCGTGGAAGCTTTTGCAGAAAAATTGAAAGTAATTGCACAACGATTTACAGTGGTTCGACTTTCTCAAACAAAGTCTACGTCCACTACCTTAGCTATCCACAGTAAGGATTTTCCAACAAATTCACTAATTTGTTCTTTCTTTTGAGGCCAAAGAGATAACCTTACAAAATCCCTCAAGAGTATACCCCAACTCTTGAGAACACTCTTTTTCCCAAAGAGAAGATTACAAATTTGCAAACTTACAAGAAAACCTCACAAGGTAAGATGTTTGCACAATTCTAGAACAAGAAAAGAACACTCAAAGATAATTACAAATGAGCACAAATGGTGTTCTTGAAAGCAAAATGAATATTGAAAGGAAAATTGGCTTAATTTGCACAAACTTGGTATTTGATGCTTTCTCTCTTGTTTCTCTATGATTTCTTTTTGATCAAGGGCTTCAGAACTTGTTTAAATACACCTTGAATCTCTTCTGAACGTTGGGGATGATTAGTGAAGATCATATAGCCGTTTTAGTGTGAAAACAATTAATAAAACAGTTTGGAGCGTGGGGGGAATCGGTACCCCCTATGGGGAATCGGTTCCCTAAGTGTAAAATTCAAATATTTCGACCGTTGAACAGGGGGGAATCGGTACCCCCCTATGGGGGAATCGGTTCCCTCTGAGCATTCTGGAAATCTCAGAGCCAAACCATTTAGGGTGGAATCGGTACCCCCTTGGGGGGGAATCGGTTCCCTCTGAGCAATATGGAATTTTTGGCTTTGAAATGGTTCGAAATACTTTGAAAGATTATTTTGAAATTGTTTTAAGATTAAAACTTAATTTTACACTTAAGTAAGGATTAAAAATGATTTTTGAAATATTTTGAGTAATGTTTTGATATTCGAATAATTATATCGAATATACTTAGAAATTCATTTTGGAAAATCTTAAAATTCATTTAACTTAATTTGTTCTATCAAAATGTTTTCAATAATCTCCCCCTTTTTGATATAACAAAACATTTTAGTAATTTTAAGATTTTGAAATCAAGTTTTGAAATTACTCCCCCTTACTTTAACACTTCTCCCATTTATCATTTTAAAAACACACTTAAAACACACTTCTCCCCCTTTTTGTTAAATCAAAAAGATTCAAATAAACGTGAAAAATATTAAGCCAATTGATTAGGTATATGTATGCATAAGCTGCTAAGATCACAATTAAGAGAAACGTTAGCCATTAGTTCCGTAATCAATATTCATAAATAATGTGATATGGCAAAATTGGTCATATTGCTAATAATGATGTAAATGATGCAATAATAAATAAATCACACCAAACATATAAGTTCAAACCATCCATAAATCCAAACAAATTCACAATCCTCAAATTCAAACATCCCAAAATATTCAAAATGTTAAAACAATAAGTTTAGAAAACAAAGTAAAACATTTAATCATATATCCGGATCAGGAGGAGGAAAACGAGCTCGCATAGCGGCCATTTTGTTAGTGAGGTCATTAATACGTGCATTGGTTGCTTCATTATTTGCACACATTTCCCGAAGAATTTCTAATTGTTGAGCTCCCATTGTGGATAAATGGG